GGGTCCACTTGTGGCCCGCGGGTCACCAGTTTGACCCCCCTGGCCTAGTTGAAAGATGAATGAAGTCAATGGAAACAAGGATTTCATTGTATTCTAGTAGTGTACACTCGGTGTATCTGGGTTCTCTCCTGCTAAAACCTCCACACACGGTGTTGAATTCTGTCCTTGAGTGCACTGCACAGTTACTAATCCCTTCCTAAGGATGCAGTGGACACTAAACAGTCGTCAGAATCCACGATCTTTCTGTCCTGTGGTTACCAGTGACTGTTGGTGGTTTTCCTCTTTATTATTTTCTTCTCAGTGTTGAAATTATTTCCCCACCATTTGAAGGAAAATTATAACATAAAGAAAACCATTGAAATGTCCTTTGAGCAAACCTTTTAAGTCTTATGACAGACATTCTTCCTCAGTCTTGAGTTTCACGAAGGAAAAAAAAGAGTTTCAAAAGAAAACCCGAAAAGAACTGTTCATCGGTGTCAGTGTGGGAGTGAGCAAGAAGACTGGCTAGTTTTGATACGAATGCAATCAATGCCCTTTAAGTGTACATGTAGAAATTGTTGAATTGATTGGCTTGCATACTTTTAATAACAGTAACCAAGAAATATAATTGGACAGCTTAAAACCATATATCTGCCACCTACGTTACAGGATTGTTAATCATTTCCTTTATTTAAGACAATTTATTTGTAATCCATTTACTGCCTTTCTGTAGTCTGCTGACTTGAGGATTTGAGTTTGGTGATGTACAGCTCTGAAGTCTGGTGTTATTGTTGTTAAGTGCCGTCAGGTAGGTGCCAGCTCCCAGTGGTTCTGTGTACCAGGAAACAAGACACTCCCTCTTTTTGCACCTCCTCACAGTTGGCAATGTTTGAACCCAATGTCAGTCCATCTCCTATAGAGTCTTCTGTTTTTTGCTGCCCTTCTATTTACCAAGTATGATGGCCTTTTCCGGGGACTGTTCTTTCCTGATAACACCTCAAAGTACTGGAGATGAAGTCTCCCCATCTTCACTTCCAAGGAACATTGGGGCTGAACTTCCTTCAACAAAGATGCTTTGGGCAATCCATGATACTTTTAATATTCTTCACCAGCACTATAATATGAATGCATTGATTTTCTTTTCTTTTTATATGTCAAAACAGTTTTGACATATAATTCATGTACCATACAATTCAGTAGTTTAGATAGATTTTTTTAAAGGTTATGGAATATGCATCAATTCCTATTTTGTCTTTCTTATTCAGCGTCCAATTTTCACATGCATATGAGACTATTGAAAACACCATGTCTTGGGTCAGGTACACTTTAGTCCTCAAAGTGAAACCTTGCTTTTCAACACATGAGATCTTGTGCTGCATATTTGCCCAATGTAATATGTTGTTTGAGTTCTTGACTGCTGTTTCCATGAACACTGATTGTGAATTCATACAAGATGAAATCCTTGACAATTTCCATCTTTTCTCCATTTATCCTGATGTTATCCATGGGTCCAGCTGAGAGATTTTTGTTTGTTTGTTTGTTTTCTTTACATTGAGTTGGGTCAGGAAGATTGCAGTCCTTGATCTTTATCAACAAATGTTTGAAGTCCTCGCTTTTAGCAAGCAAGGTTGTATCATCTACATATCATAGTTAATAAGCTTTTCTACAGTCCTGATACCACATACTTCTTCATATAGTTCACCTTTTTGGATTATTGTGCAACTTACTCATTGAGTAATGTGGTGAGAGGATACAACACTGAAGCAGAGCTTTCCTGATTTTAAATCATGCAGTAGTCCCTTGTTTTGTGTGAAGGACTTCCTTTTGGTCCATGCACAGATACCGGATGTACACAATGAAATGTGTTTTTCCCATTCTTCTTAATGCTATCCATAGTTTGTTATGATTCACACAAACACTCTACATGGTCAATGAAACACAAG